TCTTGGGCATCTGACAAGATAGTGGAGATTCCTCCTTTTAAGATCACACATTTGATTATAACAGACATGTAGCCTGCAAACATTATTCCAATCTGGAAGAAAAATCAGAGATTTGTTTGGTTGGCAGATCTGTATTCTGTAACTATGTTGACAGATTTTGGTCCCAGTTATCAAATTCTTGCTAATTGACATGAATACTGCAAAGAATCAAGACATGACTCAAACCTGGTTGTGGTGTCAATAAAATTAGACTGAAACCTGATTGCAATTTAATTCAGTTTTACTTACATAGAATATGGAATATATTTATATGGTTCCAAATCATAACAAAAGGACATTATACTGTAAGATAAAGACGCTACAATCCAGAGAAAACGCCAGCAATCAAAATGGCAGTGTGAACCAAAAACCTCCCTTTTAACAGCAAGAAACGTCAACGTCAAGGAGGGGCAGCCATCTACCACAACTATTTGGAGGCATTTGTGTATTTTTTTCGTTTTATTTGATCCAGAACCCTACCTGAACAACATCTGTCCACACCACAGCTTTCAGGCCACCCTGTAACAAACGCCACAAAACAAGAAAAATCTCTGTCAAAAAGGTTAGGAGGCTGTATTTATGAACAGAATGCATAACGTGGAAATATGTGACCGTATTCTGTAGTAAAACATTTTCAGAAACGTCACTAACGACGCTACTTTTTTCAGTAACGAGTAATCTAACTAATTACTATTCCTATTGTTACAACGCCGTTACCGTTACTAACAAGAAAATGCGGTCCGTTACTATTTTTCAACAAACAGACGGCTGAAGCTGTCTTCAGCTTACCGCATCTTATAGAAGTTGCACGGAAGCAGCTGTAATTTGGCACAACACCTGTAGCTAGGGGGCAAAACAATCACATGAGTGCTGCTGTTTGACTGAGGAAGAATAAAGTGGTCGTGGTAAGCCAATCACATGACCACTTTAAGATGCCAAAGCAACAAGGTGACATATACCAGTTTTTAAATTGTGGTGATAGGCCACGTGAAACCAGAGTCATGATAAACAAAATATACGTGGCATTTTTTTCCTCAATAGCTTCGTCATGTTAACTGTCTAAGGGCAGCGCAGCGAGACCTCTCTGCTTATGACCATGCAACACATTATGCAATGACGGTTCCAACTTTTGACCCTTAATGATTGCATGTGAAAACATCAAATTTAAAAAATCAGAGGTGATGTTAACTGAGAGATATTTTGTTTTAAAGAGTAAATGGGAAGGGGACCTCATGAATTTTAGGAAAATGTAAATATTCTCATTTAATCTCTGCTGAATGTGAAAGTGGGGGTCTCTTAAGGTTCCTGGCTTAGTGATGCTCGATGAGGTTCGACTGACAATGTGATGCACTGCAGTGTGTGTGTCGTATGTAATAAATGTTTTACTAACCAGTGCACAATACAAAGTACAAA